AGGCTAGGTTTTTTTTTTTTTTTTTTTTTTTTTTACTTTGCAAAAATAACCAAACCTTGAAAAAATAACCAAAAAAAAACGAAAAACTTGCGACACTTGATTTCCCGGATGCAATCGAATTTCTCAGATACACGACGCAATCTCTGCTTGAGTCGAACCCTTCCAGCCCGCGTCTTGTGCGTGGGCGGAGAGCTCTATCCCGACCGCTCCCTTGCCCACGGCGATTTGAAGACAGCCAGGACTGCAGGGAGGAGAGAGAAGGGAGAGCAAGGAAGAGGGAGGGAGGAAGAATCATCTGGAGGAGCGCAAAGCCCTTTAGCGGGCAGTGGCGACCTGTTGCCTATCGCAGGGCATGGAGATGGGGATCTGAATGTCGTCAGAATAGAACACTGGGGATCTGAATGTGGTCAGAATAGAACACTGCGAGCAGTGCCCTCGGAACGATCAAGATTGGGCCGAGTTAACGGACAGCAGAAGCCACAGGAGGAGGAGGGGAAATCGGGGGAAGTCGGGGAAGTCGGGGGAAGAGGGGGAGGAGGGGGAGGAGGACGGGGGCGGTTTTCGAGGAGGAGCTATGGCTGCGAGCAGTGCCCTCGGAAGTATCAAGATTGGGCTGAGTTAACGGAGATCAGAAGCCACAGGAGGAAGAGGGGGAAGAGGGGGAGGAGGGGGAGGAGAGGGAGGAAAGGGAGGAGGGGAAGGAGGGGGAGGAGGACGTTGCAGTCCAGCAGGCATTGGCCGCCTCCTGCGCAGCGTATGGAGATGGAGACATGAAGGCGGTCAGAGTAGCAGATAGTGTCCTTGGAGGCGGAGTAATGGGACGGACGACTTAACGAACAGCACCAGCACCAGGACCGGCAGCAGGAGGAGGAGAAGGGGGAGTAGGGGGAGAAAGAGGAGGAGGAGGAGGAGGAGGAGGAAGAGGGGGAAGAGGAGGAAGAGGAGGAAGAGGAGGAAGAGGAGGAAGAGGAGGGGAGGAAGAAGAGGAGGAAGAGGAGCGGGACGGAGTTCACGAAGAGCAGCAGCAGAAGCAGCAAGAGCAGCAGAAGGACCAGGAGCAGGAGCAGCAGGAGGAGGAGGTGGAGTAGGAGGAGGAGGAGGAGAAGGAGAAGGAAGAGAGGGGGGAGGAGGAGGAGGAGGGAAAAGTAAATTGCGATATTGATCTCGTCAGGACGATCGAAAAAGAGGGACGAGTGCAAACAGTAATCAAAACGAGCGATACGAGATCAGGAAAAAGCGAAGGTTTTCGACGAAGAGCAGCTATGGCTGCTGCATCCGATTCGTCGTCTTGGTCTTCTTCTTCGACTATGGGACTTGGTGGGCTCTTGCTGGCTTTGCTAGCTCTGGCTTGCCTGACATAAAATGCTGAGGGCGAGCCCGTAGTCCTGAGAGTTCACGACTTCGATGACAGCGTGAAGAGAGATGGAAAGATTTGGTTCGTGGAGTTCTTCGCGCCGTGGTGCGGGCACTGCAAGAGGTTGGCGCCCACGTGGGCGGAGCTTGCAAAAGCGTTGTGGAAAGATCCTACGTGGCGCGTTGCCCAAGTGGATTTCACCGCTGACAAAACGTTGTGCACTCGCTTTGGGGTCAAGCACTACCCCACCCTTTTGGTATTTCATGACGGCGGAGAGCTCAGAAGATACACGGGCGCCCGCGACACCGACTCGCTCAAACTGTTCACAAACGTGGTCGCACACGAACTGTGGCGAGCGAACGGTAATGCCAACGACTTGTAGAATTACGAGAGAGAGAGAGAGAGAGAGAGAGAGAGAGAGAGAGAGAGAAGGCGTAAATAATGCGGGCGACAATGTCATGGGATGACTCAGGGTTCCAGAGTCGTGAAGTTTCGAGAAAGCATGTGTTTCCGAGATAATAGCGCGGGGCGCGGGGCGCGGGAGCTGTCTCTTATACACATCTAGATGTGTATAAGAGACAGGTCCTGCACTGAGGAAGCGAGCAAAGTGGAGTGTGCGACAATGAGCGAGAAACCTTGGCTAATGCTTCACATGCAAGAGCGTAGTACTAAGGTCATGACGTCAACAGTTGACAGAAATAGATCAGGTCATGACGTTTACAAATATAGATACAAAAATAGATGAGATCATGAGGTGGACAGAACTCTACATGGATTTGGATGCTTCTTGGACCAGGTGCATGACGTTTGAATAAGGTAGCTCAGGTCATGACGGTTACAAAAATTGATACGGCTTAAAAAAATATAGGTGGTCATGAGGTGGACAGAACTCTGCATGGATTTGGACGCTTTTTGGACCAGGTGCATGACGTTTACAAAAATCGACAAGGTCATAACGTTTACAAGGAGAGATGCAAAAAGAGATATTAAGGTCATGAGGTGGACAGATAGCTCAGGTCATGACGTTTACAAAAATAGATGAGGTCATAAGATGGACAGAAGTCTACATGGATTTGGACGACTTTTGGACCAGGTGCGTGCCGTTTTAAAAAAAGATAAGGTCCTGACGTTCTCAAAAAATAGATACGACATTAGAAAGGGGCCTCGCTCCACTACACAGCACCCCACATGCATTTGTACTCCTTTCGGACCAGGTGCATTCGGACGAGTCCAACATTTCGAATGTATCGGGTCCACAAAGCGTCCATATGCATGTAGACTGTTGTGTACTGTAGCGAGGCCCAAAGCTTAGGTCATGCATGACGCTGTCTCTTATACACATCTAGATGTGTATAAGAGACAGGTGTACTGTAGCGAGGCCCAAAGCTTAGGTCATGCATGACGTGCACAGATTAATCGTTGTTTTGTGAGTCATGACGTAGGCTGCAGGAGAGTGTCACGCAATGCTCTCTCTCGCTGACTTTTTTTTTTTTTTTTTTTTTTTCTTCCCTCTCCCTGATTAGAAACTCTAGTGAAAATGATATATGCCGTGAGTAGAAGAAATTCCAATGCATGTCTTTTAACGGGAAAATGTTTCAAATTCATCGAAATGATAGAATAGTATAGTTATACCAAAAAAAATATCGTGTAAAGGTAGAAAGCGATGCTTGCAGCCTTGCAGGGGTCACCTGTATATCCTTAGGAGTAGTGGTAGGTAGGTCGTGAAAGGTAAAAGAGATGTTTTCCCAAAAAAAAAAAAAAAAAAAAGAGAGAGATGTTCCATGATGACATGGCAGAAAGCCAGTTAAAAAATATGTTATGTGCGGGGAGAGAAAAATATATGGCTGGGGGAGGAGGCCGGCAAGCCTCCCGTAGCGCCACGCGAGCGCTGAGTCTGCGCTAGTTCGGGTTTCGAATGTAGCGAAGCCCTAGCACTCCTCCGCCGGCCCACGCTTGGCGGCCAAGCGCGTCTATCAAGTCCGGTTGTCACGCGTTGTGGAAGATGGACGCCTCGGTTGGTAGATGGCATGGCAGAGCCATGCCCTCGGTGCTCATACTCCAACCTCTCCTTGATTGGAGGGGGAGTGCCTTGCACTCAAGAGTATGGGCCCCACCCGATCTCCTCTACTACCTTCATTTCCATCTCATCAGGTTAACTCTACCTAATCAAGTCGCTAATTCTGGAAACTACTCAATCTGCTTTGGCCTATCATGACAGACGTGATGTTGACGGTCTGGATAGTCCGGGGTTCAACTATGTAAAGAACGACAGTAGCGTCTCTGCAAGCAGTGGGAGAGCTCGCACTGGCGGTGGGAGTGCTGTCCGCAATATCGAGGGCTCAGCGGGATTCATCATGCCTGGTTTAAGCTACAAAGAGAATATGGCTATGTTCTTGGCTAAATACATCCGCTACATCTTGGAGGGGCTGGGATAAACGCACGCTACGCAGAACTAACTGAGGCAGCATTCCTATGGGCAGTGAGAGAGTGCGCAGCGACAATGGGAGCGCGTCGGCAGTTCCAAGAGCGTAAGTGATAGCTTCATCAATTGAAAAACTTCGGGGTTCTCTTCCTGGTCTTCGGTACTGGGTAGATCCATTCGTCCGATTTCCTAATATGTTTGGTTCTTAGTAGCATCCGTTGGTTTGATTCATAGATTTGGGGGCTAGCCCATGGAAATGAGCTTTTCTTCTTTTCGCATATAAGTGCACCTTATTTGACTTAGGGGGATTTCTTCCACCTTATGGGATTACGTGTGTTATACATTTTGGCCACGACTTACTCTTTTCTAGCCTGTGGCGGCCTTGTTTGTCTGTTATTTTTGTTAGTTATAGGTAATTCTCTGTTTCGGTAATTTGTTGTCTGTTCGTCTATGGACAGCCGCACTACAAGGGCAGTGTGAGCGCCTTCAGCAGTGGTGGGAGCGTTAGTCGAGTCGCACTCTCTCACTGCCCAATGGTTGGATGAAATGAGAGACCCGGTGAAGAGCAAACTAGAGTTGTATCCATTGGGTGCGTGGTGGGAAACCCGTCTTGGCAAAGAAGGCTCTTTACAGTGTGGTGGACAGAGTGGATAAGAGGGTAACCCTACAGCTCATTTGTCTATTTGTTTATCCACAGCGGCACTACGGGGGCAGTGTGAGTGCCTTCGGCAGTGGTGGGAGTGTTAGTCGAGTGTGGTCATTAGTATGTTTAGTTTAAAATCTAGTAGGCACTTGGTTTGAAATTAAGATTGGTTTTGGAGTCAATATTATAATGTTTAGCTTAAAGTTGGTATGTTTTAAATTGGGTTAATTGAGTTGGTTTGTGGAATAGTTGTTAGGATTAGTATGGGAATTGTCTTGGTCTTCTATTTGTGGCTGTTTTTATTAGTATGGTTTTTGGACGGGTTGATGTTTAATTGTTTAATAGCTTTGTGAGAAGGAGGTACGGTGGCCCATGATTGGAAATCAGGGTAATTTGGTGATAGTACCGTGATACCCGTGGAATTGCTAGTAGCGGCGTCACCTTGAGCAGTGAGAGTGTAGCAAGGGGCGGTGGGAACGTTACTGGAGGCACGAGAGAACCGGTGAAGAGAAAACTTGAGTTGTACCCATTGTGTCCGCTAAACCACGAAGGACCAAGGGTGCGTGGTGGGAAACCCATCATGGCAGCTCAGGCTCTTTGCAGGATGTGGGAACAGAGTGGGTGAAAGGGTAGCTCGATACAGCAGCTAATGAATGTGGGAACAAAGCAATCGGCACTATAGTCAGGGTGAGTCCCAGGGAATTACTGATAGCGGCGCCATCTTGAACACTATGAGCCTATGAGGGTATCAAGAGGCGGTGGGAACGCTATTGGATAGATGTTATGAGAGAACCGGTGAGGAGCAAACTTGAGCTGTACCCATTGTGTCCGCTAAAACTATGAAGGTCCAATGGTGCGTGGTGGGAAACCCGTCATGGCAGATCAGGCTTCTTGCAGGGTAGTGGAATAGGGAGGGTAATAGGGTTATCCCTGCAGGTGTGAGTAATTAACTGTTGTAGGATTGCTCTCTATTTCTGGGAGACAATATCACCACGTTCAGTATGAAGTTGGCATGAGTTCGGGTTGAAATTCGGGAGTGTTTGGGATTATTTAGTTGGCTCTCGGAATAATTTTAGGGTTAAAACTGTAAAATTCTTTGTGAATTGCCTTGCGCTTTTTCGAATTCTACAGATTATAACTTGTAGTTCTCTGCCAATAGTGTTTCGTTGTTAGAAACATGCTGGCGTTGCACTTTTTCGTCTGCGCTGCAAGGTTATCATGCTATAGGCTGAAGGACTGGAGAGGTTTACTATTGGTTAGTTCAGCCGCGGCGCCGCCTTTTTCTGTGCTTCAAGGCTAGTTTGAGGAGCTTTGTCCTATTGAGACTGGGCGGTCGTGGGACGCTGGACCCGGTTTCCAGCAGGCTTCATCTCGTTAACACCAGGTAGAATTGTGAGGTCCCCGGCCTCGACCACTTTTGTTTTGAAATATGAAAGTGACAACTTCTCAAAAAAAATATATATATATGTCACAGCCCCTCGTTTGTTGTCCTCTTCTCTCTCTCTGCCTACGGTTTACCGGGCAGTTCTGTTTGTGACGATATATATATATATGGCTGTCCCCCGGGCCGTGGTCCCATTAGCAAGAGAGCATCGGGTTGAATGCCTGAATCTGGACGTGTTCGAGGACAGGAGCACGAAATCGAGATCGAACTGCTTTTCTGTATCTCTGCATACAACATGGCCAGATTCAGGATTTCTATCCGATCCTCTTTGCTAGTGGGACCACGCCCCCGATGAGGAGAAGGCAGGTTAATTTAAAAAAAAGAGAAGTGACCTTTTTAGGGGGAAAAAACGGGGAAAAACGAAAAAAAGAAAAAGAACAAAAAAACGAAAGAGAAGAAGACGAAGAAGAGAGTTTTTTTTTGCAGCGTTCATGACTGGTGCCTTCCCCCGAGTAGAGGTAGAAGAACCCGTGGCCGTTGACGCTGTATGCGGCAGGGAAACGATCCAGGTTCAGTTACTTATGACGGCCTCGTAGTCTAGTCGGGATAGCGATAGGGATATGTATATGGATATGGATATGCTCATGGATATGGCCACGGGATCTTTGAGGATTGTCCTCGCAATTTTATTTCACTTTTCCTTTTCCTTTATTTTAAGTCCCCCCGCCATTTCGTGGGTGATTCCCTGTGTTCTATGATTCTATCTCTTTCGTTTTTTTTTTTTTTTTTTTTTTTTTTTTTTTTTTTTTNTTTTTTTTTTTTTTTTTTTTTTAATTTGGACCATTTTTCGACTTATACGTGTCAACCTTGCTCAGGGGCCCTTGCTAATCTTCAATTCTCTGTATCGGGTCCAATTTAACGGATGTCTCGAAGGACTTTGTATTGTTTTTCTCCTTTTTTGTTGTGTTCTTTCTCTTTTTTGTTGTGTTCTTTCTCTTTTCTGTTTTGTTCCTGTTTTGTTTTTCTCATTTTTATTTTTGTTTTTCGGTTTTTTTTCCCTCAAATTTGTCCCAAGGTCTCCATTCCCGCAAGTCGTGGGAGAGGGCCTCGCTCCACGACTCTCTAAATGCGCAAAATGAGAATGAATCTTGCGCTATAACATTGAACAATTCACCGCGGCCGTATTTTTGGTCTTTCGTGCATGTGGAGAGTAGTGGAGCCGGGCCCATAGTGACAAGCAATGGCCAAGCTGATCTCGTACAACTTTATTTATTTATTTATTTATTTTTACTTTTATTTTTTCTCTCTCTCGTACAATGTCACGTCTTGAAAACATAAGGTTAAACCTATATCCCTGGCGGTGCGTTAGCGACGGCTAGTCTGCGGGGTGTTACCGGTCCGTGCTCTTGGGCACGGACCGGCGGCCGCCATCGTGCCGAGGAAGGGGAAACGCTTCGTGTTCGGTAACTTCAAGGAGTTTCTCCTAGTAAGGTGGCTGGACTTTGTCCTGAAAGGAATGAAGGGCTGGCTCCCTCGATGGGGGATGGTGTTGACGTGGGGCCGTATCAGGAGGCTCTGCGACTGTGTGCATCGAGAAGACCGTGAGCCCAGCCAAGCCCTTTGGGCTCTAGGCCCTGTCGATGGTCAGGAGTACTTCAATGCATCACGCTGCTCATTGCGGTTTGACGAAATGAAGGTATACTCCAGCGCTCAAGACTTCAGTGTGGGCTTTGACTATTTATTGCGGCCTATCTCTTTTCTTTAGATCCGTATTTAGTATAATTTATTGGAGTCGATAGTTTTATATAGTAACTTTCTAAGATGGCGTCATCTTCTGCCCCCCCTCCCCCGTCCACCTCTTCCCCCATGTCAGATCAGGAAAGAGTCAGGATCAGGGAATTATTCGATACTTATTTCCAGGAAGGGGTTCCTGCCTGGCGGTCCCTCCTCTGGTAAAGTTGTAGATGGGGACGACTGTGTGAGGGTGGTAGTGGATAAAGACGTCTATCAGGTTCAGGTAGATTGGCTGAAGGAGCACGCAGTTACTATTTTCTTCGGTGATGACGCCACCTCCCTTCCCCCGAATGTTAAAAACCGGCTAGTCCGGATTTACGAAAATGGGTGGGCTGCACAGGGCTCAACGGGGGCGCCTCCCAAGAGAGGGGTATTTCGAAACGAAGGCAAGAATCTCGTCACATACATTGCTTCCGACTGTCGAATATCTGCTTGGATGCTGAGAAAGGACAAGGATGTGATTGAAATGGATGATAAAACCTATTCTGTGTCATTTCGTCCATGGATGTCGGAGAAGCAACTCTCTGACTGGCGGGAGGCCATGCGCCAGAAAGTTTTCTGGATCAGATGCCTTGAGGTTCCGGTGGGAATTTTGGGCATCCTGAAGGGAGTGGTCCAAGATGCCTTTGGAGCAGTCTTGTTTGACCACCAACCCTTCAAGAAACTCTTATCCCCGGACCTTCGGGACGTCCGTTTTGATTTAGTACCATCGGCAAAATTGTGCTACAAGAAGAAACAAGCTTATTGTAGACCTCCACGATAAAGGGTGTGTTGAGGTGGATGTTGTCTGCGCTGGAACACCCTGGTGCTCGAAGTGCAGACGATATTTCCATAGAGACTCTGACGTGGGTTGTCCGGCCAAGCAGAAAGCCCAGGAGAAGAACCCTACAGAGAAAGCTCCCTCTCAGAAGGAGAATTCCCCTGTAAAGGAGAAGGATCCACAGAAGGAGGTGCTTTCAACGAAGGGGATTCTCCTGGAGGAGAAGGAGATTATCTCTTCAAAGAAAGGTCCAGCCCCGGACAAAGAGGACGAGCCTCGATGGGAATTAGTTACTCGCAACTCTAAGAACAGGCGCAAAAGGAAAATTAACAAGAAATCCTGGAGTCGGAAGGATTCTCGGGGAGGGACCAAGCCTATTCCACCCACGAAAGATGGATCGTCCAAGGATGATGCCGAGCCGTCGGGTAAATTACCCGAAGTTCGGGGTGATCCTGTTGTTTCGTCTAAAGCAGATGACAGAGATGAGGTGTTGGTCAGCGAGGGTGAAGGGGAAGGCACGGGAGAGAAAGAAAATAACTCAAACTTGGAGAAAGATGTTGCAAAGGTTGCGGGTGTGGATGGGTCTTCTTGTCCCGTAAAACCGGAGTCCATAGGCATTAACGGGGAAGGGGAAGGGGAGGAAGGGGAGAGGGAGGGATTATCTCGAAGGGAAGGAGGGGAGAGTGTTGTGTCCCCTACCCCGGCCTCTATCCTTGGAGGATTGCAGTCTAAAGATAGAGCCGAGCAACCTATCGAAGAACAGAAAGATCTGTCAAAAGCGGATGACAGTGACGTGTTGATGGTAAGTGATGATGAAGGGGACGAAATGGAAAAGAACGAGGATGACTCAAACTTGGTGAATGAAGAAGTGAAGGAGGAGGGTAGGGAGGAATCTCTAAGCCCAGTTAAATCTGAGCCTGAGCCTGAAAGTTCCCAGGAGGTAGGGAAAGGCGAGGAAGGGGAGGAGGAGATTGGTTTATTACGAAGGAAAAGAGGTGAGAACTCTGGTCCCCTCTCCTCGGCCTTTGTCTTTGGTGGTTCGGAGTCCAAGCTTGGGAATGATAGTTGTCCCTCTCCCCAAAAACTGTTGGAGGAAGATTTTGAGCATGTAGTGAGACTATCCCTATCGAGGTGGTCTCTTCGGGGTCGGACTCGGAGGTGGATAGCGTGCGAAGCCAGACTCATTCAGACGGTACCCCGGATGAGGTGCCGACGGAGGAGGGCAAGTTCTTGGACTTTTCTGTCCCAGGGCTGCAGCACGAAAGGCTTATTACGTATTCTGCAAGCAAGAAAGCTAAAATGAATGATAAATCCTTCGTTGTTACGGCGGAAGAGAAGTGCTTGGACGAAACAGAGGATGCCCACTCTCGAGAAAAGGCGAAAAAGAGGAACAAGCCAGGCCGATCGGCCAAAAAGTCTCTCTTCTTTGCGGCTCCTATGGAAACGTTAGGAAGAGCGGACGCTCTGATGGACCCCCCTGGGGAATATTTAATTCCATTAGTTGTTTCAGACTCAGACTAAGGACCGATGGTTTTAACTGAGAAAGACTATGAAGAATCTCTCTCGTTACCCTCGATCCAGATCTCAAACGGTATATCTGAGGAAAGGGTGCTGGAATTGACTCAAGCGTACGTACTTAATCATACGGGGGAATGTGCAATCCTCCCTACCCCTCGAATGGGGCGCCATATAGCTTCAACTGCTGATGGTAAGAAGGTTCTCCTCCACATAGCGTTTTTAGGACTAAAATCGACAACTGATGCCTTTCGTTCTTGGTGTTCTGAGAAGAATTATTAGTATCCGTTGCTCGACTTTATCCAGCCAAAATTGGACGCCCTTCAGACCATCCGCATGGATCCGGGTCTGTCGGCCAAGGAAATCGTCGTTTGGCTGCAGCATGTTGATGCGACCTCGTCAATAGCGGATGGCAGCTTCAGACTTCTGATCCAGAGGTCAAATCTGATCTAGCTATCTAATTCAATAGGGCCTGCGGAGGTCGTGGCTCCTTCAGTGGAACCAGACCGCGTTTTGAAGTCCTCGCTTCTTGATGACTCTGCCACCTCGAATTAGAATTGTTAGTTGGAATGTCAAGGGCCTAGGTGACACCAAACAGATTTAAACGTCAGCGTTTAGCTGCTGATTTTTAATCTGAGAATGCTCAAATAGTCTGTCTTCAAGAGACCAAGTTAAATGATGCTAAAATCAGTGAAATTAGACCATGGTGGTCTGGCCCGCAGTTTTGGGCTGCAGCAAATGGCACCAGGGGAGGCACGGCGGTACTTATGCATAAAGACTTAGACTACGCTATCTTGGATCACTATGAAGACCCCGGGGGTCGGGTAGTCTGGGTGAAAATCGCAATTGATTATGAAGAATGGGCTATTGCTTCTATTTATGCCCCGGCGGAATACATCGAAAGAACGAAGTTTCTGGCCAACTTACCGGCGCTTCTTCCTGATGTGGAAAATTTAGCCTTATTAGGCGACTGGAACACAACTTTAAACCCGGGGCTAGACTCTCCTTTGCCCACCCCGCTAAGGGCTGATAGTACACTGTTGTTGTCTCTTCTAGAGGCCCAAAGCCTGGTAGACACCTTCCGTGTTCTACACCCAGAGGACAATGGTTTCACATGGCATGGCCCAAGACCTTCAGAAAAGGCTCCAATTCCTCGTAGGCGGTTGGATCTTATCTTGGCTAGGGGCTCTCTTTGGGACAGATGTATGGCTTCAGAATACCGGATCTCAGATATCTCGGATCATTATCCCATTCATATAGGCATTGTATCAAAGGAGCTAGTGGAAAAGGAACGCCGGCCCTTCCGTCTTAACGTGAATTTGTTGAAGGATGAGGGCATTCCGAGGTGGGTAAGCGCCCAGATGACGGCGTGGATGCGGGCTAAAGATCTGTTTGATTCAGAGGAGGAATGGGCTGAGGTGGGAATAGGAATTATCAGGGCTGCCCTTGTTGAATTTTCAAGAATGAAATCTGCAAATAGAGCTTGGAAAGAGAAATGTTTGTTAATGGAGATTGCTACTGCGGAAGATAAGATTGGTATTGACCCGTTTGAAGAGTTCTATTGGTCCGAAAAAAGGAGACTTGCGTTGGCTCGTCTAGAAGATCTGGAACAACGCAAACAAGCCGAATGGCTTGACTGGTTAAAGCTCAGAGGCATCATTGGGTATGATAGAATGACGAAGTTGACCTTTCGGTCTCTGGTCTTGAGACAGACAAAACCATTAATAAGGGAACTTATCCACCCCTTCGATTTAGAGAAGGGACCTGCGAATGACACCCAAAATATGTGTGCCTATGCCCTAGAGTATTTTAGGGACATTGTTAGCTCCCGTAGACCTTTTGATAATTTTGATTCAGATCTCTTTGTTGACTCCTCCTTTTGGGACAGGACTACTTCGTGCATTTCTGCGCAAACTATGGCCAGTCTTGATTCTCCAATCACAGTACAGGAACTAACCAGAGCCGTTCAAAGGATGGCCACAGGCAAATGCCCTGGGCTTGATGGGCTACCCGTGGAACTATTTTCTAGCGCTTGGCCGTCCTTTGCACCTTTCCTTTGTCAGATTTACAATAAAGCCCTGGTTTCAGGCTCCCTTCCAAGGAGTTTTGTCAAGGGCGTGATTTCGCTCCTTTATAAGAAAGGGGACAAGAGGGAGGTCCGGAACTATCGTCCGATATCGGTATTAAACGTCACATATAAAATCCTGGCGAAAACGCTAGCTATCCGGTTAGCAGAGGAACTGCCCCTCCTAGTTGGATGGGAGCAAGGCGCCTTCGTGAAAGGACGGTCGATCTTTGATAATATAATGACTACGGTTCAAGCCCTGGAGGTCATTAATGCAGAAGATAGAAATGTGGCAGTCCTACTTTTGGACATGGAAAAGGCCTATGACAAGGTGGGGTGGGCTTTTGTTACTACCACCTTGTCTAAAATGGGATTCGGCCAAGGATTCATAAAGTGGACCAGGGCTATGTATGCAAAGGCTGCTTCAGTGGTTGTGGTCAACGGAAGATTGTCTGAGGACTTTCACTTAACAAGGTCTTTGAGACAAGGCTGCCCACTGGCCCCTCTACTGTTTGTTCTGCAACTTGAAGTCCTCCTCGACAACATTCGACTAAATCCAAGAATAACAGGACTGACATTGTCTCTTGTCCTCAAGTGGAAAGGAGGAGCTCTAGCAGATGATCTTACTCTGGCGGTTCAGAACTCTCACTCCACTTTATTAGAAAGTTAAGTCAGTATTAGATGAGTACTGTCTTCTTTCTGAGGCCTCTATAAACTGGTCAAAGTCGGTTTATTTCCTTCCGTCCTCATACACACTCAATGTGGAATGGGCGCTGCGCCAGATTCTGTCGGATAATTCAGAACACTTCTTGGGCATTCTGGTCTCCCTGTCAGACTGCTCCACCACACAGGACCGTCTTCTAGCAGATAAGGTTACCTCTAGAATCAGTCAATGGTTACGTAACCATAAGCTCTCCTTGTTTGGGAGGGCGGTAGTCCTGTTGTCGGCAGCGTTCTCGCTTCTCTTGTTCCCGCTGTCAATCTGCACGTTAGGTAAGGAAGCCTATTTTGCAATCAAGCGGGCGGCAACCAGATACCTGTGGAAACCTACAGGTGATGAAGATACGGGGTGTATTTCGAAGGTTGCCTGGGAGGTTCTAACTCAACCACGTTCGGAAGGGGGGTTGGGCATTTTGGACCCGTTGGACCAAAACCGGGCCCTACTAGCAAAGTGGGTCATTAGGGCAATGTTCGAGGACCATAATAAGTTATGGATTTTGCTGGCAGAATATATACTGTCGGAAGAATGGTCTCTGAGCAATACTACTGATGTCTGGCTTTGCTTCTTAATTCCTTCCTTCCTGAGCATGAAAATTAAGTCCAAAGTGTGGCAGGGTATTCTTCAGTCTTGGAAGAAATTAATGCCCCAGCAGGTGAAGGACCCTACTACAAGAGAGGAAATCGCTAACCAGATTATTTTCGAAAATCCTTACATCCTTCTGCCTAACAAACAGTTCTGCGGCTGAGGGGGCAGGAAATTTTGGGAGATCATGGATTGAGAAGGGGGTTATTCAAGTGAGGCATCTGTGGAATGCCGCAGAGAATGATTGGATGTCCCCAAAAGAGTTGCGTCGCCGACTTCCAAGACTGCATTTTGTGGAGTTAAACTACACCAAAATCAGGGCAACTCTCCCGCCTCACTGGACCTCTGTACTTAAGGCGGGCTCTGAGAATTGCTCAGGGACATGGTTACGCTCCTGTGATGATCAGCAAATCATCTGGAAAGTCATAGGGCCGGATCTCCCAACAGGACTTAAGGTTGAGGAATGGAAACCCATCACTGGAGCCTCTTCAGGGGGCCTACTCCAGTACTTAGGGGAACAGTCTGTGGCCTCTACGAAAGATTGTTCGGAGGTTAGAGTCCTTCCATCTGATGACAACAAACATTTCTCCTTATTAGGAGAGTCAGCCGCCTTCCGAGTGGAGCCTGCCCTTCTTGGCTGGAAAAATGTCCAGCAGAGCGATCGTAAAGTCACAGTTCTCCCCTTGGTGCGCTATTCTACTAACCAAGGAGTAAGATGTTTCCGACAAACCAGACTCAGATCTCCTAAATCACTGGCAGAGAAGAGATTCGCAAAGATGAAGGGGCCTCTGGCGATACAACCGGAATGGACAAATCTGTGGAGAGTCAATTCAAGAATCCCCTCCCAGAGATCAGGCAGTCTTCTCTGGCTCGAGTCGCTAATGGTTGTTCCAACAACACTATGGTTGTCCCAAAAAGGCATGCCCCTACCTATCACATGCACGAGGTGCGATTGGGGATGGGAGTCCAACTCACATCTGTGGGCAGAATGCCCACTGGTGGATGAAGTCTGGCAATGGTGGCAGGACTTATGGGAATTATTGACGAACAAAACCTTCCCCTGGGGAGACGAGTGGATTATCTATGGAATCCTGCCCTCCCCCTCAGTCAAGCTGTATGAAGGGTGGGGTTATGTGGCACTGGTATGCAGAGGCGTTATTCTACAGGAAATCTGGCGGGCCCGTAATGCTGAAGTATTCAAGGGTGAGCGCCTCCCCCTGCTGCAACAACAAAGACAAATAAAGAATGATATTAGGAGTATGATCAGGGCGGATTGGAAAGGAGGAGTAGGCCGCCCTAGGAGGAACTCCTATTGGTTTCAGAAAACCTGGGCACGTGACAATAAGTTTGCATCTGTCTCTGCGGAAGAGAAGATGTTGATTTCAAGTTGGCTAAGTCCAGCGTAGTTATGCCTTGTCTCAGTCAGGACTAGACTGGGAAAGGCATGGTGCTTAAGGCGGGGGTAGAATTTGACTCCCTGGGATTCTAGCCATAATTTCTTCTTCCTTCCGGTAGGATGCTCTCATACTTTTCATGACTACGCAGATGCAAAAAGTTAAGGTGAGGATAGGATGAGTTTGCCAGTCTGCGTTTACGGGTCTGTTGAAGGGACTCTTAGCAGCTGTCCCCACCTGTTGTAAAAGCTGCCCATCTGGCCACTGTGTTTTTCTGCAGCTAAGAAAGTTTGGTGGGTTAGCTCAATTCTTTTACTCAGTGCTTTAATGCTTACTTTTTGGAGAGCATTGTAGGACAGGACGCTGGACCTGGTTTCCAGCTTTCCAATTATTTTTCAGGTGAGTTACTCAGAGCAGCTAGGCTGTTGTTTGGTCTTGGAAGCGAAACTGGCTAATGCTGCCAGGATAACTCCGGTTTGAATTGTGAGGTCCCCGGCCTCGTCCTATTATCTTGCAATAAAGACTCAAGCTTTCCCAAAAAAAAAAAAAAAAAAAAAAAAAAAACATCAAGGTTTATCAAATAATTCAAAGATCCATGAGTGTGGTTCGACTTTTCAACACCTGGGGCCAAGTCCCACTTGACCGGATTCTTCATTTTCGGCGGTTGATTTTCATGATCTACAGTTGGGAATGGAGAATCCGGGTGAGTGGGACTTGGCCCCGTGCCGCAATTCTCAGTTTCTGACCGTAAATTCCGAAGATCAACGGCCAGAAATGAAGGATCAGCGTAAGTGGGACTTGGCCCCAGGTGCTGACTGTAGTGGTTACGATGCTTGGCTCTTGAGAGGCCAAGGTAGCCGGCTCGAATTTGGGCGTGCGAGAAGAAGGGTCTTCGGCCCAGAGGTACGAACGTATAAACTAGTTCACAGGCAGGATGGCTGCGTATACATGGATGTGTTTTGCACAGAGGTACGGAGGCCAGGATGGCTGCGTATACATGGATGTGTTTTGTGGTGTAGTTCGGGGTTTCCATAGGGGGAATGGCATCGGGTGCGTAAGTGGGGATGTATGGCGTCTTTATGCACATAAATAAGGTTGTGGTCGGTCTCCGGTTTCCATAGGGGGAATGGCATCGGGTGCGTAAGTGGGGATGTAGGGCGTCTTTATGCACATAAATAAGGTTGTGGTCGCCATCCGGAGACCGACCGGTTGTTTTGTGAGGCAGCGAGGCGGTGGTCGTGGGAGATGGTGGTGCGGTCTTCCGTCGAAGTGCGGGCAGCTGGAGATCGTAGCGTGGTGTCTCGTATAGGAAAATTTTGTTGTTATCTGTCCGTTTATCCTCGTAGGTGCATGGACAGATGTTGCTCTTTTTTGGTATTTTAGTAGAAGTTAGTTAGCGGACGGGGGCCGGAGTTGTGGTCGGATGCATGCAGGTTTGATTTTGTCCACAGCGGGGTGGAATCAAGTTGAAGCTTCAAGCTTGATCTGGAGGTGGACGGAGTAACTTTTGCGGTCAGATGCGTGCAGGTCTCGTTTCTCTACTGAGTATGGGCACAATTTCAGCCATCCAATAGGTCTCGTTTCTCTACTGCGTATGGGCACAATTTCAGCCATCCAATAGCAAGGTATATGAATAATTTGCCCGCTCCTCCCCGGGCCCCTGGTATGCCCATGATTTTCCCTGCCTGTCTCTCCAGACACATGTGGACATTTGTCTGTGCGATTGCCTATCCGCCGCCGTCCTGGCTGTGCCCCCACGCCCCGCGTGGTTTCAGTAGATACGATACTCAGGGTGTCCTCACACTCAGACTTGTCTCAATGAATCTGAGTGTAATTACGGCAAGACCCTGATGTATATGACCACAAACTCGTCCAGAGCTTAGTACAAAAAGTCCTTAGGTGTGAATATGTCCTCAGAGAAATCGCTTAGGAGTCCTTGACACAGCGTTTGGATCAGTTACGCTCCAATCATCCTCAGGAGGCAAACCACCTGCCAATGCCTTACGGGCCGCCCGTGATTCCACCAACAAACTGACGGGCTGGGGCCCGACGCTTTAGGTCTCTTCATGGTTATCTTATTTCATTCTGGAAAGTTTTCAATGTCTTGGTACTACGTTTGTGGCGGGGCAGATATGGATAGGTAAGCGTGCCCCAAATCGCGTATCAGTTTTAACTTGGAGAACAGCAGTGCAGCGCGGAATCGCCCTGAACTTAGGAAGAGTTTCAAGCCCTAAGGTCAGACACAGACACACACACACACACACACACACACACACACACACACACACACACACAGAGAGAGAGAGAGAGAGAGAGAGAGAGAGAGAGAGAGAGAGAGAGA